AGACCATTGGGTAAAAATCAACCAAATTTTGCACACTTTCTCATTGATGTGTATTGTGTACATGCTGTCAAACTCGAAGTCGTGTTTTTCGATTCAACGAAAATGGAGGTGAACCAACGCGAGTTGAGAGAACAAATTCTTTCCAAACACCTGGAATTTCCTGACCTGTCGCACCGGCAGTTGGGAAAAATGTTGAACATTCACCATTCAACCGTCTCCAGAGTGTTGAAGCGGTTCCAGGAGCGGTTGACGTTGGACCACGGCAAAGGAGCTGGAAGAAAACCGGGACTGGAGAACAAAAAGACGGAAGGAAAGGTGAAGCGGATGATTAAAGCAAATCCCAACGTCTCAAGCCGTGATTTGGCTAAAAAGATCGGCATGTCGCAGAGCTACGTCCAGAATGCAAAGAAGAGAGCTGGACTACATACATACAAGGTACAGAACTTCCCAAACCGCGATGAGCGGCAACAATCGACGGCTAAAACTCGGGCACGGAAGCTCTACGAGAAGATGCTGACAAAATATGGCTGCTGTGTGATGGACGACGAAACGTATATAAAAGCCGATTTTAAGCAAATTCCGGGGTTGGAGTTTTTCACCGGCAAGAGCAAGTTCGATGTGGACGACAAATTTAAGAAGAAGAAAATGTCGAAGTTCGCCTCCAAATATCTCATTTGGCAGGCCATCTACTCTTGCGGACTGAGGAGTGAGCCTTTCGTGACAAAGGGCACAGTAAATGGCGAGATCTACAAATCTGAGTGCCTCGAGAAGCGCCTTTTGCCGTTCTTGCAGCAGCACGACAAAGCTCCGCTATTTTGGCCAGATTTGGCATCATGCCACTATTCTAAAACTGTCCTGGAGTGGTATGAGGCCAATTCTGTCCATTTTGTTCCAAAGGACATTAATCCGCCAAACTGTCCGGAGCTGCGCCCGGTGGAGCAGTACTGGGCAATAATGAAGCGGGAACTTCGGAAGAGCAAGAAGACAGTCAAAGACGAGAAGGATATGTTAAGAAAATGGAAAAAAAAACTGAGAAACTGGTACCGGATGACACTGTAAAGACTTTGATGGAGGGCATCAAGCGAAAATGCGTTCAATTTTACACTCAAGGCTCCATCGATTAACTTTTCTTTTGATTTTTGAAGTAAATATATGTATAAAACTACCCTAAAATTTTGGTTTGATTCTAAACATTATAAAAAAAATTGACATGACATTTTCGGTGTCGCAATAATTTCGTGTTCGCCCTTTATGTCTTCAGCAAAGATGTAGAAGGTAGAATTTGTTTGTAAAGTTGTCGAAAACATACAAGCTGTAAAGCTTCAAACAACTGAGATATACGAAGTTTTTAAAAATTTGCCTGGAATTCACGTATTTAGTATTATTAACTAAACTAAATAAACAATCGTTCAAAATAATACTTTTATCATTTTCCTCGATCGGTTGGAGTACTGAAAAATATATATCACATGAAATTTGAAAAAATACATGGTTTCTGAATGAATTTTCTAAGAAAAAGAAATTCAAGTGAACGCAAAATTTCACAAATTATTCAAAAAGTACATCAAATGCACTTTAATGCTTCAAAAATGTCAGAGGTATATTGAGATTTATTTGAAATATTTGGATTTGACTCAAACATTATTTAAACAAATACAGCAAAACTATTCTGTTGCTTTTCAATATTCAAATTATTGCTATTTTTGAATTTTTGACAAGCATATGAATAGTTTAGATTCGTTTCCAATTTACGTTTCTAACGAAATTTTAGAGATCTCCCACAAGTGTAGATCATTACAGAATTCATTCAAATTTGGCACAGTTGTTTTGGACCTCATTATCAGGGGCCAGACATCCATCTATTAGAAACCGCGAAAGTATATTTTGGGAATTTGGTAAAATTGTATCAGACAGACAAGTAGGTTTATTTCAAAACATATATCTTAAACATAGAATGTATAGTTATTGCATGAGAATAGGTACAAACCAAAAATAAAATCAAATTTTAATAGATGCAATCGCGATTCACCGAAGGGAAATCTTTTATAAAGCCATTCACTCTGTTAAAATCCATACAAACATAAAGTCAGAGCTTCGCGCTATCTTTAGCGGAAAAACAAATCGCTAAACAAACCCAAAAGATCAATGAACGTTTTTCCCCAGGATGGCAATCTTTGTTTTGTCACGATTTCCTACGAAACGGTGAAACATCTCTCGGGCAGATCTGACCGTTTGCCGGCTTGGAAAAGTTTATCCCGATCAGTGACAGCAGCAGAGACATCCTTCCACTAAATGTCCGTTTCGGTACTGAGCACAGCTGCCTAGCATAATCTTTCGTCTACACTTCCCTAGCATTTTTTTTCCACTTTGCTAAATCGCATCAGTTGTGCTGTGCTCTGGTTGCCTTTTTTTTATCGATGGCTTTTAAACTGTCTAGCAAGCTCGCGAGTCTATTATGAATATTATTCAATAAATTGAGGCCATAAAATTCAACAAACATAAAAAGTCTAACGAAGTGAGAAAAACCAGAATGAATATCTCCATTGCTTTGTCGCACAAAGTTGCATGGGAAAAGAGCCTTTATGGATCAAGATATTTTCCACAATAAAAGGATATTAGACCTTTTATTTATGTTGACTCTTCTGAGGGAGCTATATACAGTTTTTTGTTGACTCGTTTCACCTAAGCATGAAAAGGGTAAGCGAAAATCGAAAGTACAAATCTCTTTTCTAATCTTTTCCACGCAAGGGCTTCCTTCACCGCAAAAGTGAACTTCTTTACCAGTTGGTTGAGGGCTTACCAACACTTCCTATTGTTAGTTCCATCAACCCTCGAACTCTCGCATCCAGTGTGAAAGAATTTTCCTCGACTGACTGGTCGGGTGTATGACTCAATTCGACGCTTATTGCTTCGACATAAAATTACGTTAAGGGAAATTCGCTTACCGGGGAGATGTTTCTCGTTGAGCGGTTGGAAAGGGTGCAACAATGGCTATAAAATTTACGATCTTTCGTGGCTTAAGTGGATGGAATATTAAGAGTGATCATTTGTAAACAAGCTTGTTAATTTAATTTTCGGTGTTGAACATCGGATTGCGTCAGTGGAACTTTAATAAAACATGTCGATATTGACCAAAGGTGCGTATCGGAGCTCAGTTCGTAGAGGCGCAGTTATAAAGCAAGACCATGCTGGGTGCGGCGGGGGGGGGGGATATCAGGTTCGATCTAGGCTTTTCGAAACATTTCTGGGCATAGAACATCATTACACACTAGATTACACATTACAAAATGCATACATAAATGGTACATTGCAAAGTGGTCCAAAATAGGAATTTAGCCGGAATAGTAGTCCTAGAGATTTTGCTGTAGTATTTAGACGTTTGGTGTCTTTGGTGAAGTTTTTGTACAAAGTCCCTTCGTTTGGTGGGGCAGGTGGACCTCAAAACAATTTATATTAATAACTTTCATATATTTGAAAATAAATAATATCTTTTAAAATTATAATATCTTTAAATATCTAATTTTAGTGTAATTTGTCAAATGTGAATTAGGGTGTATCTGAGATATGTAGTTTTCAGCCCTAAATATTTTGATTCAAAATTTGTATAAAAGTCGTGCTCAAGAAACTTTTAGAAATTGTAAAAATAAACATTTCTGTCGATTGAAGCGAATTGATATCTCTTAAAGACCATTAACGTTTTTCTCTAAAAAATACGCCCTTTCAAATGTTTAAGAAACAGCATGGAGCAAACGGATTAAGGATCTAAAGTTACCATTTGAAAGAGCTTAACTAAAATTATATACGTAGATTCGTAAAAACTAGAGATATTTAATATTTTATTCTCGTATGAAATTACAAAAAAAACTTTGAAATTTCTTATAATATAATTGGGTATAACTTTTTTTAAAGTGAAACAGCCCATTTGTGTAAGCAAAACACACGTCTTAATACTTGATATTCTCATGCATTTTCACGCACTCACACCCACCACGCCAAAAATTAATTTAAGCTCATAAAAACAGCTCAAACGTCATTTGATAGTATGTTCATGCATGTTGTGTTAGTTTTCCATCCACTGATGCAAAAACAGCAATAATAACAATGAATAATATAAAAATATAAAACAATGGATTTATGAACCAGAACATTCATCGGTGATTTTTGCACCGTTGAATTTTGGAAGGCAAAACTCTTAGGTGAATAAACTCACATATGAGATTTTAGTGTTTGCGTTTTTACTAAAATTTATTACAGCATAGACACCTTTCTCAATCAGGCATAAAGAACAATTAAAATCAGTACGCAAGTAATCGATATTATTTGCTTTTCGTCAATAAGGTTCGTCCATTTTACCTTTTCTATCTTGTGAAGCACGCTGCATGCTCGTCAACATTCAAACGTTAGAAGAGCGTCGTGAGGTAGCTATGGTTTGATTTGAATCAAAGCTTAATTTGTACATACGTTCTCGGCAACTGCAAAATCGAAATATATTTACAAACTGCCATGTGCTAAATTTCGATGAAATTTTGTCTGCTTACAATAAGCATTGGGAAACTGCTGACTTTACAATTGCAAAAACCAGATTTAAGCTATATTTTAATTCTTATTATTAATAAGACAAATATTGTGACAAATTGTAGCAAAATGGGCCACATCTAATAGATTACAATAAATAAATAAATAAATGAGTATAGCAACAATAAACATAGTACCTTTCATTAAGCGGTTGTTGCCTCCAGTTTGGTTCAGTAGTGGTTGCTGAGAAACATGAGTCTTCCAATATTTTAACATGTCAATAGTTTAGTCTTATATTTAATCTTAATTTCAGTAGGTTCAGGTGAGTTTGTTTTTAATGTATGTTTGTATTTATTTCAATCCTGGGTTCTAGCAATTGGGCCACAATACGAAAATAGACCGAGCTTTAACGAACACTTTTGCATTTGCGTTATGGTTGACATGTTTGTTAAATAATTTATTTTACCTCTCTTTTATATTTTCAGAAGAGCCTGTAGACGACAACAATTCTTACCTTTTAGACAAAGGTAAGTTGTAACGGATGTATTCTTAAAATTATGTAGTTGTAATATTTCATTACACTTCTCTTGATTACTTATACAATTTTTTACAAAAAATCCATGGTACATTCGATTCATATGACTTACTGTCAGCACTTCACAACTCAATAGTCCACTAACGGTATGTCAAGTTAAAGAACCATAGAAAATTGAATTTCAATGCTACTGCTGCACGCCATACTGCAGCACGTGAGTGGCGGTCGTTCATCGATCTTTTTTTTTCTTTTTCTATTCATTTATTTCATATGTATCATGACAAGAAACCCGTCATACCGTCGCCACCAGATCCAAAGTGCAACCTCTGCATAAAAATGAATTTTTTGTTGTTTTTACCGATAATTGCACTTCGCACCCATGGCCTTTTTTTTATACAGGGGGGAATCTGCTCACAGACACCTGAGAAGGAACTCAGGGTGTGGGGATGGGAGAATTTCAATCCCGACCCACTAAACCTTACCCTGTGCGCTTGGCCCTTGACCTCCCCGGAACCGCCCGAAGGCATTACTTCGTGGGAGGGGGCTGCTGTAGCGCTACGGCACCTCTCTAGCAATACTCTAACGATCTAGTCGGGCAGTAGGTAACTGCTGCTCGGCTCGCCACTGTCGTTGTAATACCGAAACTATGTGGGTGGAGTCACCACCGCGCTCCTGTTCTCGGTGGTACCACACATCCTAGGAACGATGTTATCCGGACTGGTATCCGCTCCGCATATCGCTAGCATAGCGCTCGATACTGGCTCGAAACGTGGACAGGCGAACACAACGTGTTCGGCGCTCTCCTCGACACCAGCACATGTGGGGCAGATGGGAGTACTTGCATGTCCGAACCTATGCAGGTAGCTCCTAAAGCAGCCATGGCCTGACAGGAACTGTGTCAGGTGGAAGTTTACTTCCCCATGGCGCCTGTTGACCCAGCTTGATACGGAGGGTATCAAGCGGTAAGTCCACCACCCCTTCGCATCCATGGCCTAATTTGTCTCGTATGTCCACTCAGCTGTTTGTAGTCCAAAGTCGAATGTGTTCTGTTTTCCCCTTCTGATGACATAAATTTGCTGCATCTATCCACCCCTTGCGGGACCGGACACGTCTTTTGGCCACTAGATTCTCCTTCAGAGTCCTGTTTGGTTGCTTACTGGCCCGAAAAGATCAAAATCTTTCTCACTGACGAATCCTTCTGCCGGTGCTTTGGCTGGCTTTGAATTTCTTGGCGATATCATAATCCGACAGTCCTGGGTTTGCCCAAACCGTTCTCAACACCTTCAAATACAGCTTCCGATCCTTAGTTCCTGCTTTGATCCTGCCGATCGATAGTATGCCACTCACGGAAACTTTTAGCTACACACGGTCGATTTAGCCATCTTCAATGACTTCGCGATTTCTAAACCTGACCACGCCGGATTTTCCAAGTGGGTGTCCAAAATGAATTTTCGGTTCGCACCTTCTTTTAAACAAAATGAATCGTGACGGACTTTCAGCTCGGAAAGAGGAAACATTTCAAAACAAACTGCTGTCAAAACATTCCAGAACCGACCGCTAGAAGCACTACAGTAAAATAAACAGTGAGTCCAGATATTAAATGACTCAAGCTTTAGAGTATGCAATTGTTGGAGCTTAAAAGCAAAAGGTGCGTGCAACAACTGGGCTCTGTGACACATTCAAAAGATCTATTATATAAATTGCAAATGAGCTCTGAAAATATTTCATGAAACACAATCGAAGATTTATTGAGGAAATACTACTTAGAAAACGTGTTCAATATAGTAAATTCGTTAAATATCAAAAAGCGTGTGCTTAGCTGTGCAACAATTTGCAAATTACCCTCATTAGTTTCTCCAACAGGATATGTAGTTAATTTTGTTGCGTGTTTTTATCCCCAGTTTTAAAATAGTAAGTAATGAATGGTTTGCATCTAAAATACAGATTTTTTTTTTCGCAAAACTGCCAAATGCAGTATCTCCTCACTGTTGTTGTTGACAGTAGATTCGATGTCCTATAAACTACACACTAATTTTACACGTGGTCATGTTAATACAACTAGTAGCTCCTCCACATATTGCGTTTCTTCACAGCACATATTTGCCCTATGAGAGAAAGCAGCCTCCAACAACCACTATCATATTGAAGAACTTTACAGACTATTTATACAAGTTGTAATTAAACCCTTTCAACCTTAACCATTCATAAAACTGTGCCTGAAAACTTCAGCCAGTCTGTTCTCAAATCTCAACGCTGAAAACCTACGAAAATCAAATCAATCTTCATTCAATTGGTTTCACAGAATAAAAAAATCTCAAAACGTATGCTGATTTTTATCTTCAATACCTCGTTATAACTTTTCCCAAGCTTGATAGGAAAAATAAAGAACAAGTACGAAAACGAAAACTCAAATGTTCAGTCATCCTTCCTGTGCCACACTGGGTGCCGTAGAATAAAAGAGCCGAAGCAGTTCTATCCATGTAAAAACTTCAGGGGTGAACTCTCCTCGACATAAGTCGTCCATTATCCGTTGCAGTCAAACTGAAAGCGGAAAAGACCAATACCAAATCCACCCTGGTGGAATCACTATCCAACGACGATGGAACAAAACTTTCTCTATAACGTTAATTTGCATAACTTTCAACAGATTACGTGCTTAGTTTACGAAAATCAAGGTTAAAAACTTAATTGCTCTCGTTCTTTCGTTCGCTCTTGCCCTGCTTCGTGGTATTCATTTTTGAGAACTCTCCACCACTTACTTACTTGATTCGCACTCATCAACTTCACCTCAATGCAAAAAGAACATGCACATGCACATGCTTACGTTAAAGGTAAACGCAGGTCTTTCGTCTGTTGAAAACACCATCATTACTAGGAAGTCAAAGATGAATGCACTTAGACGCTCTATTTAACATTCCTTTAGTGACGTTCAGAGTACTTGGTCTGTTCAAAAGAAGCGAGAAGGTAAAGTTTTCAATTTTATACCAGCATGGTGATGAACTTGCACAGCAAAAAATTAATTTTGATAACACATCAAAGTGGATACACTTCAATCGTGTCAAAAATATGGTGTAATATAACTTGCCAAAGAGGACAAAATTATCATTGATCCAGTGCATGAACTGACATTAGGCTACTTTTACTGCATTTGTTTATTTTGGTGGCCATAAAAATTGCATGAGATTTTTGACATGATTAAAGTGCATCCTTTTGGATGTAATAATATATTTTTTTTGCTGTGTGCTTCTCTAAGAAAAAACCAGCACGTTTTCAATCTGGTATGAATCGGTCAATATACCAAGGCATTAACGAATAAGTTGCTTAAAATCATAATTAAAATGTTCATATGATTCTTGTTTTCATTTTGAAATGTATGAATTTTAATTGTCAATCGACAACTGTCGATAACGTCAACGTTAACGTCTGCAATGGTGAATTTGCAGTTCAGACTTTATCGACGGTTATCGATAAACAATTAACTGTACAATTTAAAGGTCTGAAAAATTTACCATATTTTACTTTCTTGGAGTTCCCTGAGTTAAAATGAAGAATATACACGTAACGTTTTTAGGTACCACCCTCTTTATACATTATTTAGGTATGTTTGCGTAAATTACGATGGACAAGATTCCCTCTTCCATCTTATAAAGCAAGGTGCATGATCATCAACATTTAAACATTAAATGAGCGTCGTGATTTTCCAATGGTCTCATTTGTAAACGATATAGTTTCGCATCGTTTTGATTCAGTAGAACTCGCATCAAAACTATTTTTTATGTACCTTCTCGACATCTGCACAATCGGAAAAAAATAACAATTCACCATCGTACAAATTACGCTAAATTTGGACCCTTAAATGATTACTCGCAACAAGCACTACGAAACTATTGACAATGACAAAAAACAAATTTAAACATCACTTGAAATTAATTCGTAATATTAACACGTAAAAATAGAATATTATTAAGGTAAACACTGCTTAGTTTATTTTACGTATTATTTTCTTTCATTATTATTATACAAAACAAAGAATGTAAAAAACGGTCTACATCTGATTGACATCAATAAATAAATAAATGAATATATAAATATATCTAGGTCTTATACTAACCGAAGCATGTGGAATTGATGCTGTCAAACAGTATTGGTTTAGGAAATTACTGTAGGAACCTTTTTAAATAATATTTAAAAAAAATCCTGATGTTTAACTCCTAGTTAAGGCAATTGTTTCATTTGGGCACCCACCACACACTAATCCAGGCCTCCGTCGTTCGGTAAATTTTGAACTACAGAGCTTTTCGGTAAAAGTTTAAAAATCAGTGAAAAATCCAATTTTTAGAAAATTTATTCCGAACTTGTACAGAATTTGTTCAGTTTGTCCCATTTATTGATGAAAAATAAAATTTATACATTTTCTTGATTTCTCACGTGTAACGGTCATTTGAAAATTTTACCGACTTGTTCTGCTGTTCAAAAACCCGGTAAAATCCTACCGACTTCGGTGATCTGATTTAAGTGTGCATATAAATTTAAATCAATATAAAACCACAGTAAGCAACTATAGAACGTTGTGGTTTCCATGTCACTTTCATCAACTCATAAGATAGAAAGCAGTCCAAATCCAATATTACGAGCTTGTAGCAGGGTTGCTTCCACTTACTTGCTTTAAAAAATGATTTTTGGAATTATGAATTATTAGATATTATAATGATAATTTGTACCTGTACGTTACAAGAAGAACTTGAAAGAAGTATGGAAAAATGTATGGGAAACGAAAAGAAAATATTCAGTTGCTTGTCAAAAACTTGGCTGATAAACGGCTTTTTTTTATTTATTCTTTATTATAGAGATTTTTAGCCGAAGGCTAGTTCATCTCTTTGGTAAACGGCTGGACAATGCGTACCATGGATATTTCGTGTATCTGCAGGTATAAATTAGACCCCACTAGCGGTCCTCAGCCTCTTGTCCAGTAACTCCTATCTCTACCTCCCC